AAAAATAAAAATATTTTTGCATTTTTTAAATTTCGTTTTAAATAAAATCGCTCGAAAAGTTTTAAATTTCTTTTAAAAAAATTTACAAAAAAGCATTTTAAATTTCGAGAAAATTTCATTCTTCGGCAATATTTTATACAAAATTTTTGTTATTTATAAAATTTTATGACTGCGAAAGCTAATTTTTATTATAAATTTAATAAATTATTATATAAATTAAATGATTTTACAAATTAGTTTCTCTTGGAATGATTTCCGTTTATATTCAGTCGTTGATCGGCATTTCATTAAACTGAATGAGAAAGTGTATTCCACTTATTTCCACTGACATGTACCTAAAATTTAGCATTTATTTTAATTGTATGTGTAGGCAGTAATCCAATTTATACTTCTAAAATTCCTATGTTTTAGCATTCTTGGAAGAGTTCCATAGGCTTTAGCTGATTTTCCAAAGCGATATAATATAATATAATTATGAAAAAAAGAGTATTATTTGAGGCTTAAAAAATTTATCTAATTTTTCTAAAAAGCAAGGATTGCTCTAAATCGAAATAAACAAAAAAATAAAAAAAAAAAATACAATTCTTCCTCAATTATTATAGATGTAAATAAAATAAATCGAAAATCTGTGATTTGATTTATTGCCATATCATATCACATCATATCATATCACATCATATCATATCACATCATACCATATCATATCATACAATCTTCTTCGTTGGATGAATGAATGAAAAAGGCGATTAGGCAATTTAAGAATTATTTAAGAAAAATTTTATTTTTAATTTATTTATAAAAAAATTTAAGAAAGAAACATTGATATTTGATTGTTAGCTACAATACTATTTATGTATGAAATGAACCAATTTCGTTTTTTTTGTAAACTTTTTTAGAAGAACTTTTTTTGATTTCATTTTTTTAAAACTTTTATTTATTTTATTTTTTAAATATTCTTAAATGTGAAGATAAGTAAATCTGATAATATTTTCTTCATATACGCCAAGTATAAAGAATTTTTATTGTTAGAAATGTAAACAACGGAATACATAAGTGATATGCATGTGCGTCTATGCGCATGGGATCAACGTATGTCATGTGTGTGCATGTGCGTGTATGCGCATGGGATCAACGTATGTCGTATGCGTGCATGTGCATAGAGTGCACGTGTATGTGCATGGCATTAACGTATAATTTTTCGTTTTTCTTTCTAAAGAAGAAAAAAATTTATGACGAACGAAAGAAATTTTGTTGTTGCCACGAAGATTTTACGAAAAAATAAAAAAATTTTTTGCGTAGTCGGTCGATCTGAATAATTTTTGCGATTTTTGTTCTCTAAATTGTGTGTCCTTTCGTTTGTTCGTTCGTTCGTTCGTTTCGTTTCAATATTTTTCTTTTTTTTTTCTATTTTAATTTTTAAAATATTTTTTTTAATTTTTATTTTTTATTATAATCTATTTAATCTATTTAATGAGTAAATGGCGCGATAAATCTTTTTTGCATTTTAATTATTTTAATCGAATGAATAAATTTTAATTTAAAATATAAATTTATGTCAAAAATCATTCATTCACTGATAACTGATTAGTGCTGTTTAGTTTCCGATTAGATTAGCTTTCCACTCGGCTTTATTCGATTATCTTATCACTTGCTAGAACATTAGATTTTTATGATAATTCATTTATACGAACGATGTGTTGGATGTGTAAAAATTGAGTCGAATCTCTGAATACGGAATCGTTACTAATAGAATATGGCGAGCCAATAGTTATTTTTTTCCTTCTTTAACTTTAAAAAACCCATAAAATCATTTAAAATCATTCATATTAGATCTATACTTCTTCTAATGTCTTATCTCAAAATTTCTTATAGAACCCCGTCAACCCCCGCCTATCCCCTCTTATCCCCCCCCCCCATTTCCCTTTTCCTTTTCTCTTTTCTCTCTCTTTCTTTAAAGAGATCGTCCTTTCGAAGTTCATTTTTATCATTGGCGCACATCGATCGACGAACAAAGATTATTTCTGAAAAAAAAATAACGAATCGAATCGTTGTCGTTGCATATTGCTCCAATTGAAATGGATTTTCTGTGCATTGTCAAATTAAAAAAAAAAAAAGTATGCCAAGTGAACACTGAATAAGCTTTTTAATTTATATAAATATTATGCATAACTCGTTTTATTTTTATTTTTGAATAAATATTTTATAAATAAAATTATCGAAAAAAAATAATAATTAAGTATTTTGACGAAAATTTTATTTTATTCATTTGATTCTTTTTCAATTTTTTTTATTATTTAAATATTTTAAATATTATAAATATTAGATAAAACTTCGATTTAATTCTTAATTTTTTAATATTTAAAATATATTTAAACAAATATTAAATATTTTTAATATTAAATAAATAATATTAAATAAAAATATTAAATAATTAAAATATTAAATATTTAAATAAAAAGCGAATATTTATTATTAAATTAATTAATTAAAAATAAATAAATAAATTTAAATTAATTAAATTAATTAAAAATAAATAAATTTTTTCAAATTTATAAAAATTTTTACGAAAAATCATATTAAAAATAATTTTCTACAAAATATTTAAATATATATAAAATTTTTAATTTAATTTTAAATTCATTAGAAGAAAATTTTTAGTTTAGTTTTAGTAAAACGTAAAGTGAAGCAAATCAGAAATGAAGAAATAAATAAATAAGCTTCAACGATGATTTTGTTCAACCATTGACAATCATTAATGAATTTTTTCTCTTTTTTCTGAAAATAAAACCTGTCATTTGATTCATTTCAACGTTAGGCCGACTTACTGGTCTGGTTGATTGCTTGCTCGCCTCACTCAATGCATAAATACTATCCTCGCTAATCGTGGATAAGAGATGTAATCATTTCGAATCATCAACATAATTATTATTTTAATAACAATAATAATAAATAATAACAATAATAATTATAGTGATAATAAATAATAATAATAGTAATAATAATAAAAAAAATTTTGGAATTATTGAAAATTATAGATTTTTTATCGATTATAAATTGGAAAGGAAAAAAAAAAGATGGAAAAATTCTAAAATATTTTATTTATAATAAAAATTCTTTTTCTTTTTTTTCAATGAAAATCAGCTGTAAAATAATCGAAAAGAATTTTTAGTTAATTAAATTCTTTTTTTTTTTTTTTAATAGTTCAAAAAAAAATTTTCGATTATAAAAGATTGAATGATCAATGATCACTTATTTATCCAACTAAAGTCTATTATCAATCGCTTATTTTTTCAAATGATTTTGTCGTCAGTTTTAGAAAAAGAAAATAATGAAAATTTTTTGCAGAAAATTATTAAAAAATATACAAGTAAAAATTTTTTTTTTAAAACATAATAAATATTGAGAAAATTTTTGCAAAAAAATTTAGTAATTTTTTATAATTTTATTCGAAAATTTTTAAATTTATAAATAATCCAAACGATTATGCAAAAAAAAAAAAATCAAATCCGAAATAATCGAAAATTTAATCTATTAATCTATATTTATAATAATAATAAAAAGGATAGATTAACCGAGTGCAATTTTCTAGCAGTTTTCTAATCGTTCGCTATAATTCGTTTAAAAAAAAAAAAAGAAAAAAAGCCTCGCGTGGTTCCAATTCAATTCGCATTATTTCTCATAATTCTTCGAAGCGAATTCGATCCACCGTTTTTCCAACGAGAATTTCTCCTATTCGCACTAAACGAATGAGTCAATTTGGAATAAACGAAACAACAACGAGACGAAGCAAAATTTATAAAGCGTTCGCCTATTCACTAAATTTTTTTATTTCAAACAAAGTCAATCATTTAAAAAAAAAACAAAAATTTGAAATTTTTTTTCGGAAAATTTCGGATGGTACGAAATTCATCGAAATTCATTAGTCAGTGAACTACGTAAAAGTTGATTTTTCGCAATTCAATTAGATAGGAAAAATAAATCGCTATCAATCATTTTTAATGAATTAATGTGAATCATTTTACTAAAAAAAAAAAAAAACATTATTGTGCAAAATAATAAATCAAAATTCAAAAAAAAAAACTAAGAATTTTTATTAATTTTTTTTTTAATAAAAATATAAAATTTACTATTTTTATAAAATTTTTTTTCATTAAGAATCATTTTATAAAATAATTTTATTGAAAAAAAAGAGAAATATTTTTTTCAAAAATTATTAAATTAATTATTTATTCATTTTTCATTTTTCTCTTCTTTTTTTAATTGAATAAAATTCAAATGAAATTGAATTTTTTTCGTTTTTTTTTTGCTGGAAAAAAATGCGATTCGATTTATGATTTAAAAAATTTTTTTTTTTTGAAAGAAATTTCATTCATGCAATAATTCATTCATTTTTCTCTCGAATTTTACGTGAAATCGTTTTTTTTTCGGTTGTTTTTTTCTTATAATAAATAAATAGGGTAAGCGATTAGCCATTTCTCGCTATTCTTCTTTTGGCGACTATCAAATTTTTGCATGTTTTGCATGTGGCGGAGTTAATAGGCGATAATAGCGCAGGCTGAGTCCTCTATCAGGCTATTTAAACGAATTCGTGCCTGAGACATCTCTCGATTTGAGACGATTTTAGTCGGCTAACCTATTTCTTAAATTAAATTTTTATTAATAATTTTAATAATAATAATTTTTCTTATATTTTTTAAATGTTTTGCCAAAAAAATTTTTTACAAAATTATTAAAATTACCGAAATTATTATCAAATTATTATTATTATTATTAATATTAAAAAATTATTAAATTTATAACTAAAATTTAAGTCGGAATTCCAATAATTTGTAAAATAATCAATTTTAATTAAAATTACAAATATTATATAAATATACTTTACAAATTGTTTGTGTAGAAATGATAATTTTGAAAATGGAATGTTTTTGTGTTTATGAAATTTGCAAAAAGGCGGAGCATTTGATTGTGGGACGAACTTTGATCAGTCTTTGCTGTGGGCAATGACTGAGACGGCTGCTGTTGCTGCCGCTGCTGCTGCAGCTTACGCAGCTATTGCAAATGTTGCTGTTATGATAAGAAATGATACGTTATCACCATTGTTGTCGCAGAATTATACAATTCAGTCGTTATTAAAAGCAGATCAATCATTATTCAGTTCTGATCAATCAATGTTCAAATATGATCAACAATCTAATATTATCAGATCATCGTCAACGACTTCAACGAATTCAATTACAATGACTATGAATAATTCTCAACAACAATCTTCTATTCATTCTTTATTTAATAATAATAATAATAGTAATATCAATAATAATATTAATAATAACAATAATAATAATAATAATAATGATAATAATAATCAATTCGATTATGGTAATTTATTAAAAAATTCTACTCAACATAAATCTATAAATAACGATAAAAATTGTAAAGAAGCAATATTAATGCACGAAGATCAAACAGACGATGAACAAAAGAAAAATCTTCTACATAATGCTGTCGTCGTCGATCATCATCAACAGTCACCAAATTCACCAACTTTTACCGATTCTTCATCGTCAAATCACTGCGACACAGTCAATGATAATACAAATTTAAAAGCTATTATTGAACCAACTATATGGTATTTTTCTTTTTCTTTATTCTATTATTAATTTATAAAAATATTCTATTCTATTATAAAAATTATAATTTATAATTTTTGATAAATCAAATTTCATCGTATTCAAAGTTTATTTTTTTTTTTAAATTTTAAATATGAAAAATTCAAAAATTTAATTTATTTATTTAAATTTTTTATTTAAGATTTAAAAATTTAAAAATTTAAAAAATTTTCAATTTATAATTTTTATAATTTTTATATTTCAATGTTTATGAAAATAGATCTAAATTTAAATGCAAAAACATAAATTTTTAATGCACAATTTCTAATCTTTAAATTTTCTAAACTTTAACCAAGCAATTTTATTTTCACCACTAACAATAATAATAATAATTTTAGTTGAAATATATTTTATAGAAAGAGGATGGACGGGAAAATTTTCTTGCAAAACAACATTTTTATTTATAGAATTGTGCAATGAATTTATTGATCAAAGATTACACATGTTTAGAAATAACATTTTTAGTTTCTCATTTCTAATACAATAAACAATTTTTTTTTCAATAATTAAAAAATAATTTTGATAAAATTTAAAATGAAATTAATAAAATTTAATATTAATATATAAAAATTTTAATATTTTTTTTTAAAAAAATCATATTTACTCATATAAAAATAAATCATGAAAAAATCATATAAAAATCATATAAAAATTCATTAATAAATTTTTTTCCATTTTTCATTATTTTTTTTTAAAATAAATCAATTTTCATATTTTTATTTTTATAAATTTTTTTGAATAAAAAAATTTTATTTTTATTTTGTAATGACAATTAATTTATATGAAAAAAAAATTGTATAAGTTGAGATGCGAAAATAATAATAATTTTATATTTTGTTTCATTAAATAATATTTAATATTTGATTTTCTAAATTTTTTAAAAGAAATAAAAGAAATAGAATTTTTTAGTTTTGTATTAAAGTTATATTTTTTTTATTATTTTTTGTCTCAAAATAAAATCAAATATAAAGTGGTAAAGTAAAAATGCTTATTAGGCATTAAAAACCATCCATTTATCCATTCGTCCAATCATCCAGCAAATCCAACAATAACTAACAATCTATTCTATCAGACTGTGTCATTTTTTATTTTCTACACATTTAAACTTCTAAACTTCTGATGACACTTTCTAAAATTTGCTTAAAATAATATGAATTATTAAAAATTATTTATTTCAATGAGAAGAATAACGTTTATAGTGAAACGAATTTTTTTCCTTCTAGAAATTTTATCAGTGATAATGCTGATAATAATGATAATTTAATTTAATGTTATAATTTTAGTTCGGTATGTCATGATGAAGCAAGTGGTCGGCATTATGGTGTTGTTGCATGTTTCGGCTGTAAAGGTTTCTTTCGACGAACGGTGATTTTAACTGATTAATGGATATTTGTTATGATATTAAAAAAAACTTATCATATCGTTTATATTTTTGTATAGAAATATATTTTAGAATTTGTTTAAAATTTTAAACAAATATAATTATTTATAGGTTAGAGCTGGAAAAAATTATGTATGTCGTTATGATAAGAAGTGTAAAATTGATAAAGGTTCATTTTTTATAAACTATTATCTATAGTTATTACCAATATATATATATATATATATATATATAGTTATTTTTTATGTTCAACAACGAGTTCCATTTTAAAAACGAGATAAAGAAAGAATTCATACACTTTTCAATATTTCGAGTGGTACCTGCTTTCCTAAATGATTCTCTAATGAGATAGCTTTTCATTAGTAATGAGTGGAACGAGTTAAACCAGAAATGGTGAATGTTATTTGAAGAAGATGTATTTTAATTAATCGTTTAGTGGAACAAAATCTAAAAAGATGAAAAGATGCAATTTTTTTTTTTAGCTGGCAGAAATGTTTGTCGATCTTGTCGTTTCCAGAAGTGTCTTTTCGTTGGTATGGAACCTGAAGGTTTAATTGTTTATTTATTTTTTTTAAATGACATAAATAATATTATTTTTTTTTTAATATTTTTGAATGCCATTAAAAATCTCGTTTTATCATTTTAAATAATAATCATTTTTATCATTCAAATAATAATAAACAAAAATAATTTGTATTTTTGCAATTAATCAATTAGTTTTTAGTTGGATCGTCTTTGTCACCTTTAAAAAATTTTCATTCACAATTAAATAATTATATGAATTTTTATATGAAAAATATTTTTATTATAGCAATTCGTCCAGATCGCGATAAAACTGGTCGTCAAAAAAATCCACGACGTAATATTATGATAAATAATAATAAATTATCAGATAATATAATTAAAAAAATGTCCGCCGTATCAATGTTAACTGAATTACCAACATATATGGATTATGATGAACGACAGCAACAGCAACAACAACAACAACAACAACAACAACAACAAACAAATATTATTTGTCGTTCAGAAAGTGCACCGCTTGAAACTATTGAAAGTAATAATAGTAATAATAATAATAATAAAAATTGTGAAAATATTTTATCAACTTTAATGGAAATTGAAAATATTTGCAATCAATTACGTGATGCACAGCCAATATTTACTAAAATAAATATTAAATTATCGGATGCGATTCTTCGTCCGTCTTTAATTGCGCCTCGTTCACCTGTTAGTTTCAATTCATTTTTTTTTTTATTTAAAATTATTAAAATTTTATTTAAATTTTAAAATTTTTTCAAATAATTCATTAGTGATAATAGGTAAACATAGTAGTTCGACGGCGAAAAAGCGTTACTCAGCCGGATTACTCTACGTTTTCGGAATGCATTATTCGCATTGACTGTTCTATGCTAAATTCTATGTATCATAAAGGGTTTTTTTTTTTTTAAGGTTTTCAGTTAGTTCAATTTTAGAATATTTTTTTTATTTAAAAAAAAAAAATTTATTCTCAAACTTATATTTTGCGTTTATTTTATCATTTTAGCATAATTAATTATTTAAGTTGAAAAAATTAAAATTCATCAATTTTTTTTTCTATTCAAATATATATTTTAAATATTTTTTTATTGTTTTTTTTTATTAGATCGTTTTATTAGTATAATTTAAATTTTATAAATTTATAAATTCATAGTGAAGAATTTGAATTTTTCTTTTTCTTTTTTCTAATTTATAGAAATTTTTCATTAATTAATTAGCATAAATATTATAAATAAAACGCTTGCATGCATGCATAAATGCGTATTACTGTACTATTTTTAGCACAAAGCGTATTATTATTCATTTTTTATTTTTCTTTTTTTAAAAATTAATTTTTCTAAATTAATCGAATATTATTAGATAAAAAAAATTTTTCATCGTTAAAAATAATCGCTTAAAGATCAAAAAATTTTTTTATCCTTTTTACTTATTTTTCTTGCAGTTCGTCTAGACTAGTTTTGTTATAATGCAGTTGTTTTTTTTTAAAACTCATTTTTTTGCTATTTCACTTCGAATTAGCACAAATCAACAAACCGTCGTCATTGTCGTCGTTATCGACATAAGAATGTTGACATATTTCTCAATTAGAAAAAAGAAAAAAGATTCTCAGCGATTTTCGTAAAAATATTTGATTTCTTTTTAAATTATAATAAAAATATTATTTTTCTTTTTTACTATATTTATTTCTCATATTTCTCATATTTTAAAAAAATATTCTTTAAACTTGAAAAAAAATTCTTTGTTTTTTGTACTTTTTATACTACAAAAGATTAAATTTTTTTAAAAAAAAAAGGAATAAAGCGAGGAATTTTTTTTATTTCAATTCGTTTGAATTTCAACGTATTTTTTTTTAAATGACACGTTTTTTTAACGAAAAAATTATTATTTATATTTATTATTTAAAATTAAAAAAAATTTAATAATTTTTATTAAAAAATTTTCTAAAAAAAAAGAAAAAATATTATAAATTGAAATTTTCATTACGAAAATTATAAAATTACGAATTATAAAAATTCTCCAAAAGAATAATTAAGAGATTTTAATTTTTGCAATTTTTTTATTTATATTTAAAATAAATTTTTTATTATTATTATTTATTATTTTTATGAAATATTGGTTGTTTTTTTTTTGGCTAAAATAATTTTATTATCTTATATAATGCAAATGCACTAAGTATAAAAAGTAAAAAAATGGTTTAGCGATTCACCATTTCCGATTTGCTTCGTTCCACTTTAGCTATTAGAATATTTTTTACCGAGGAATTACTTGAGAAATAGAAAATGCAAGTGGATAGTAGCATTTTTCAATGATAGATTTATTTCTATCAAAGGTCTCATATATCATATCAATCTAATCTCAATTATGCCATAACTATATCCTCTTCGACTATCCTCGCCTATATACATACTATTTTTTAGTTTAGTATTTCTTTTATATTTTAATTATTAAAATTAGCCAGTGATAAACTGCTAAAAGTAGTTATTATTTATCCAAATAATTATTTAAGCTATTGTTCGATGGATCTCAAGGAATGGGAGATTGTAAACATTTTATCGATAGTATTCGCCGTCTCACTGTACTTCTCTTTGATTATGTCAATACGCTGAAACCGGTTGCTGATCTTAATCCCTCTGATAAGGTGTTTATTTTATTTTATTATTTATTTTCATTCATTTATTTTGATTTATGGCTTTAAAGGCTTTTTTTTCCCTTAAATTCTTAAAATCTTTAAAAAATATTATCATTTTTTTTTTTTTTTTTCAAATTTTCCATTATTTGAATTGATTTAATAGCGCTATTATGAGATCTCATAATAATTATTATAATTTTCGAATTTCTTCTTACGCATTGTTGTTTTTTTCGAAATCACTAATTTTATCACTATTACTATAATTTTATAGATATCACTGATACGAAATTGCTTTGCACAATTTGCTTTACTTACGGCAACATTTCATACCGTGCAAAATACTCTAAACGATTCGCTAATTTTATTGCCAAATGGTTATTGCTTTCATCGAAATAAGCAATTTAAAACGTCGAAAAAATCGAGGGAAGATAGCGTTGATGACGATGATGATAAACTTTTGCAATTACTCGATGGTAGAATAAAGTAAAGTTATTTAAAGTCATTTTTTTAAATAATTCATATTGTTTACTCGTTTATAGATTAAATTAAATTATATAAAATTACTATTTATTTGAATTGTTAATTAAATTTTGAAAGTATTCTTTATGAAAGTTATAAAGGGAATTTTAATTAAAATCGGCGAGATGTTCTTGATTTTCAAGAGGAAATTCTCCGCCTAATAGGCAACGATTTAGTCTTCCGAAGAGGAAATATGTTCGAATAAGAATTCCTATTAAATTAGCTATTTATAATTTTCAGTCGTAAACTTATCAATTATTAACTCTTAGCAATTTTGTTAGCTTAAATATTCTTCTTTTTTTTAGTTCAATCAAGCAAAGTATCTTTGATCAAGTGATAAATCCGATGCGACGTCTTCGTTTAACGCAAATCGAAATGGTCGCATTAAAAGCAATCTTAACAATTGATCCAAATGCAGCGAAACTTGATAATAGTTCATTAACAATTTTGGCAATTGCAAGAGAATCTGTGCAAACTGCATTATATGCAAATATTGGCTCACGCTTTTCATCATCTGAAGCAACTGCACGTTTCGGCAATATTTTATTGCTTATTTCAAATATTTCTGTAAGTTTTATCATTTTTATTTCGATTATATCATTTTATCATTTTTATCATAGCAAATAAATGAACAAAAATAAAATTCGAAAAATTTTTTCAATTTTAATCAAAAAAAATTTTATCAAAATTTTTTTGATTCTATTATTTTTTATTCTTAAATTAGTTGCTTTTAACCCATTTCATTTGTGTTCATTTTATTTTTAAGGACGAATTATTTAGTTGAATTTGAACTATTTTTATTAAACAAATATATATGATAATTGGTTATTTATCTTAATTTATTTATCTTTTAATTTACATTTGTCTTTTTCCTTATATATTTAAGAATTCCGTGTAAATTAATATTGAAGAAAAATTTGATTTACGTGAGGATTTACGTCGAAATTAAAAGCGTAAAGCTAGTGAAATGCCCTAAAAGGGAAAGAGAAACTAGAAAAAATATGAAAAATAAAGGCCGAATTGAAACATATAAGTATGTGGAATTTCTAAGCTGCGAAAGCTGTGATTCCAACAGATTCCAGGAAGAAGGAAATTTCTGAAGATTATAGTACTAGGACTGTAAGATATGTTTTTCTTGGGCCTCCAACAGTGGACTAAAGAAAATTATATTATCCATAAAAGATGGAATTTTTTATAATTTGTTATAATATTTTATAATATTTTTTATTATTTTTATTTTTTATCGCTTGTAAATTTTTTAAAACTTGATAAATTCATCGAAATTTATTAAATTTCCCAAAAAGAAATTTTTTTTTTTTTTTTTTCTAAAAATAATTTCTTTAATTTATTCTATTTAAATATGTAAATCTCATTTTTTTGCATTAATATTTATATATTTATATAGACAGCAAAAAAAAAAAAAATTTTTCTACAATTTTTTTTTTTTTTCAGAAAGTAAGTTCGGCATTAACATCGCTTTGTGAAACAACTCACGATCTTATTGAGAATTTCGATCCTATAATTTACGAATTAATCTATGGCAATGATGATTGAAATTTTTTCAAATTTTTTTTGCCATTCTTTTTTTAAATATATTAAATTTTGTGGAAATTCTTCTTTTGGTATAAAATTGGTAAATTTCTAGAAAAATTTGGAATAATTTGAAAAAATTTAGTAAGAAAATATATGATACGTTTTTATTTCATTCATTGTACATATTCCATTCATTGAATACTAATTGTTGTCTTTCTCATTGCCATTTTTTTTTTTAATTCCTTTAATTCTTTTTGTGGAATTATATTTATGGACAAATCAGCTAAAACTTTTTCTTTTTTTTTTTGGTGATAATAATAATGATTATGAAAGCTGTGATCTTCTCAGGTATTTTTGATTTAAATTTTGTTTTTTATTTATTCTTTTTTTTTATATTTTTCCTGTAATTACTTATCGGGTATTTTTATTTGAATTTCTCATTCATTTCTGATATTTCTGATAAATATCGTTTGTAGGACAAACAAATTAAATTAGTGTTTAGTTCGATTTTTAGAAAATGGATTTGATTAATTGTTCTTAAATTTATTTCATTTAATAAATATGAATTGCTAAACTGAATTTCCATCTTATTGTTTCTTATTTATAATTGTAAAATTATTAATAAGTAAATAAAAATAAGAAATAAAAGCAAATAACAATAAGTAAATAAAAGTAAAAGTAAGTGATTAAGAACTAAGAAGGATTCGTGGCTTAGAATCGCTTTACACACTATTCGAGCATAACGAGAATTCTCTTCATAATCTATTCATTCACTCAAGAGCAAAAATATATTTCTTAGTAGATTTCCCAGTTAGATATGTTCAATGATGATGGATTTATTTTTAAATAGAAGCATGAATTGAGCGCTCGAGGCGATAATCTAAACAATAATCATTTTGGCTATAATTTTCTGTAATTTAGTAATTTTGGTTAGTAAATTATATCATTTTTTCGCAATTTTTTGTTTTGCGAGATTTCAAAGAGTATTCGTTTTCTCTACCAATGTCACAAAAGTTTTTTTTCTTAAATATAAATTTATTTTTTAATAAAAATTATTATTTAATAAAATAAAAAAAATAAAAAATTTTTTTAAAAGAAATTCAAATTTTAATGCTTAATTTAATAAATTTATCGCTATAGCAAGGAAGCCAATTCAAATATGTTGTTTCATTAAAAATGAACGTTATTTTTAGTAAATTTTTTTTTTTTTTTTTGTTCCACTTGCAATACTAACTATAAATTTTTTATGTATTTTTTTGTTCTTTTTTTTCAAAGGGAATTTCACAATTTGATAGAAATTCTATTAGCTTTATTTATAAATATGTTTAAAAGGTTATTTAACAATAGAAATAACAAAATTCAATCGGTCTTCTGTGATCAGCTTGTGCAAATGATAATATTGATAATGATTATATTTGATGCTTATCTTTCTTTTTTTTCGTATTTTTATATAAAGTTTTTATTATAATAAAGCTATCGAATTCGGCCACCATAGATATGGGTTCGATTTTAAATCAAACACATTAAAAAGCTAATGTTGAAGAGATTCCCCGGCCCCGAGGAACTGAATAAATTCTTGACGGACGGACGAAATTTTAACATAACCACTCCGACAGTTAGATGGGAAACTTTTTTGTCTCTTTAAACATGTATGATATATATATATATATATATAATTTTATATATATATATATAATTATATATATATATAATTTATATATTTACAATTTTATATATATATATATATATAATTTTTATAATTAACGACAAATTAACAAAAATGCATAGTTTTTTGAAAAAACTTTTATAGAAAAGCTATATAAAAAGAAAATATCTCATGAATAATATTTCATGATAAATAAATTTGCTATTTATAAATTTTGCTTTTGTTCTTTTGTAAATAAAATTGCTTATAAAAATTGTTTATTCAGGCAGTAAAAATTCTAAATATTATCGTTATAACTTTATCAACAAAATGAAAAGAGAACTGAAAAGCGAAAAGAATTACTTAAGAATTACTTGAAATTTTTGTAAAAATCATCAATTGTTTCTTTTTTTTTTTAAAAAAAAGAAATAAGAAAGGAAAATTGATTGGTTTATTTTAAAAATTTGCGTCATATTGTTCTCTGATTTTTAATAGGAAAAAGTTTTTTTTTAAGAAAAATCGTAAAAAAATTTCTAATTTACAAAAATATTCTTACAAAAAATTTATAATAAATAAAAAATGGTTTTTATTCAGCAATTTGTTTTTTTATTATGAATTTTTTCTTTTCTCAGCTCTTTCCTAATTAAATTTTAAATTTTGAAAGTACTTTTTTTAGAAAATAATTTTTTTGCCCACAATAATCCATTGAATTCACATAGAAATTTTTTTTTATAAATTTGGTATTTAGAAATATTTGGAAAAAATAACGGAGGAAAAATGAAAAAGTCTTTGCGTCAATCGGCAAAAATTATTAAAACAAAAAATATGAAACTAAACTAAGCTCTAAGTTTTTAGAAATTTTCGAAAGCTGATTTACGAAGAGAAAAATGATATTAAGCGATGATATTATTTAAGTTTGCACAATGGATTTTGCTGATTTTATTAGAACTTTTGAAATTTTTTCTTTTGAAATGATTTCCATAAAATTTATGATTAATTAGATTAATTTAGGGAATTTTTTCAAAAAAATTGAAAAAAATTTTTATAAAAAAAGGAATAAGATGAAGTTAAAAAGAAAAGAAAGAATCGGAGATTTTTAGTATTTTTATTATCATTTTTTAATAAATTTAATTTTATGCATTTTTCTTTATATTTAACAAATGTTGATGTAAAGTAAAGTAGGTTTGTTAAGAAAAAAAAAAACCGACGGTGATTTAGCTGTGAAATTTTACAGCAAAAATTTTGAATTCTTTTTATTTTATGGAATTTATGGTAACTTTTTTTACAAATATTTTATTGAAGAAATTATTTTTTTCAAAAAAAGATTTTAAAAAAAAACAGATAGAATTTGTTTTCTAAATGCTTTCAACCAGTCTACCAGTAATATATATCAAAATATTTGAATAATACGTAAAAATATTATCAAAAATTTTCCCACGTTTGATTGTATCGTTTACTCTTTAGTTGTGGTAGTTCCGCAAATGAAATGCTTCTGGGATTGAACTCCATTTGTGGTACTTCGACAATTTAGCTTATGAAATGTTCAAAAAACATTTAAAGTCAAAAATTTGCATTCACTGAATATTTAAATATAAATATAATATTTAATTTTGAACAAATTCTCTCAAATAGCAACTTTCATTGACATTGGACTTAAGCAACTTCGTTCAAAAAATCGTTGCTTGCTCGTTACAGAAATATTTTCTTAAGGTAAAAACCTGACATTATTTCATCTTTCATCCGATAGTATAATTTTATAAAATGGTAGTAAGTTTCACGCATTCAATCCGGTTATGAAGCATCATTTTAAGCCAACTGGGCTTCTTTAAATAATTCAGCCATTCAGATTAAGTTTATTTCATTGTTTCGTTATACAACGATTTTAATTAAAACTATTTTAATCTTTTTTTTCCAGATTTTTTAAAAAATTTTATTAAAAAATCAATTTTGAATTGAAAACAGCTGCATAGATTAAAAGGCTTATTCTAGCTTTTTTTAAAAATCCGATTAATTTGGAAATATTTCTATAGTAAGGGAATGAATTACAATAAGTTTATGTGTGGATAATCCATCTAATTGAGTTGAGCTGAAAAAAACTATGGTTCGTTTTCTTACAATGAACAATTACTTCAATTTTGTTTACTTCGAAAAAATAGAAATATTTGCCGAGAAATTTCTTGAGAAGTTTTTTGCTTCATCGTATATAAATTGAAATGCCATGCCTACTTTTTTCATAAATTATTTGATAGCTAAGAAAAATCAAGCTGTCCTAGCTTATGTTATAATAACTTAAGTAAGGTCCGAAAGGTCAGAAAGGTCAGAAAATTTCCCAAAAAATGCATTAATTAGATGAAATTTTTGAAAATAACACACAAAACTCTTTATTTGCCTTCCATTGAATAACATTTTTTCCTAAAAACGAATAATGGATAATGAATAAAATAAGATTAGTGATTTGAAAATTGAGTTTGGCAGACTGACATTAGATTCCTATCCTAAACGAAGTACCATATTTAATCGCTGGCAAAAAATTATTGTTGTAAACTGATATTTTGAAAGAAAAAAAAATTTCAATATGGAAAATATTTAATATTTACGGCACATTTCGTTAATTTTATTTGTTTCTAGTTTTTTTTTTATTTTTTTGTTCTTTTATATTTATTATATTTTCTGCATTTGATCATAATCATATTTTGAATATTTCGATAAACGAATTTCAATCGAAAAATAATCTCAGCATACTCCAAGATTTTTGCATCGATTATCCATATTTTTGTTGGCATTTTATTCATAAATATTTTGTTTCCATTCAAATCATTTCTTTCTCTATGCTAAACAAAGATGTTTTTGCAAAAAAATTTTCATCTTTTACGCTTTATTTATAAAAGTTTTTTTCATGCAATTATATTAAAAATTATACAATTTATATTTAATAAAAATGCGGAAAAAAATTATATTATATGAAATTAAATATCAATAATAATATAAATATTAAAAATAAAATAAATCAAAAAAGTTCGATTTCTTAAGTTCCAATTTTTCATTTAAAATTACTCTTTTAATGGATACATTTGATAAATAAAATTATTGTTCTCGATGGACAAGCGAAAATTCGTTTTCATTTGCATATGAATATCAAAATATGCGACAATTTGAAAATAAAATAGCACAATTGGTAATAAATATGATAAAATCGAGAATATTATTGATGACATATAAGGAATCGATGAATGAATATATTTTAATGAATTTTGAGCATAAATTGCGCCACTTGAACAAATCATAAAAAATAATAAAATTAATATTAAAATTGATCTGAAAAAAAAACGAATTTTATAAAAGGAAATGAATAATTTGGAATAAATATGACCATTTT